GTGGGTGGGGGCGGGAAAAAGGGGGTTCAAGGATCAGAGCCCCAGGTCCTCTTGGCTCCTGGGGCAGCGGGGCAGGGAATTCAAGCACAGCCCATCTCCATGGGCAGGTGGGCACCAACACACCTTCTCCAGGGAGGGGTCCAGAGCAGCTTCTTGCTGGTCTGAGGGGCCACCAGACAGAGCCCCCCCCCCCAACTTTTTAGAGGGTGTGTAGTGAAAGGACAAGTGGGAAGGGCTTGAAACTGGGATTGGGGAGATGGAGGTTGGAGATGAGGAAGAAAATCTTCACTGGGAGGTTGGGGAGATGCTGGAACAGGTTGGGCAGGGAAGCTGTGGCTGCCCCATCCCTGGGGGTGTTGAAGGGCAGGTTGGATGGGGCTTGGAGCAACCTGGGCTGGTGGGAGGGGGTCCCTGCCCATGCAGGGGGTGGATTTGGATGCTCTTTAGCTCATGGGATGGTTTGGGTTGGAAGGGACCTTCAAGCCCACCCAGATGATCCCACCAGATGATCTTCAAGGTGCTGCCCCATCCCTGGAGTGTTCCAGGTATCTGATGTGGGGCTTGGAGCAGCCTGGGCTGGTGGGAGGGGTCCCTGCCCATGCAGGGGGAGCTGGATCTAGATGATCTTTAAGGTCCCTCCAACCCAACCCAGTCTGGGATCCTCTGCTCTTCTGAACCTCAAATCTCTCACCTCTGCTCTGGGAGCCCCTTTGACCAATCGCATCATCTTTTCTGGCTCTTCCCACCTTTCCTCCATCCCAGGGTCCCCCCCAGTGAGGCAGAGGGACCCAGGCAGGGTGAACATCCCCCCCGGTGCATCCCCAGCTGGGATGCAGCAGATCTGGGGTGGCTTCCAGTTGCTGTGGATCCCCCCTGAGATCACTCACCGGCCCGTCGAAGTTGTGGCTGAAGTAGTTGACCAGACCCCGTTTCTCCAGGAGGTAGAAGCGGATCCAGTTGTGAAATCCTGACACTTTCCCTTTCTTCACCTCCCCTGAACACGAGGGAGAGCCTGGGTTGAGTTCCCTGGTCCAGTTTCCCCCTGGTTCCCCCCACATCCCAGAGGGATCTACCTGAGAAGACGTGCTCGAAGCCGCTGGAGTCCTTCTCACCGTCCCTCCTGGAGTAGAGGCCAAACCACATCTCCTTCAGATCGGCCACAAACTCCTGCTCGGAGCCGTAACGACCTGCAGGGAAGGTTGGGTGGAAAGGAGGAGAGCTGGGAGCATCCCCACCACGTCCTGCCAGCTCTGGAGAGCCCTCTCCTCCCCCACCTCCAGCAGCATCTTCCCAGATCATCCCCCACCCAGCTCCACGACTCACTTTTTTGGTGGAGGAAGGCAAAGAGTTTCTTCATCAGCTCAGTTTCCATCACCTCCTTCAGGAAGGTGTCCTGCTCCCTCAGCTCCTCTGCTGTCACCTCCTCCTCCCTGCCAGTCACCCTCTGGTAGTTGTCCAGCAGTTTAATGAAGCTTGAGTAGGTGGGTTTGGAGAAGAGCTTCTCGTTGACGTGTTTGTAGAGCCTGGGAGAGAGCAGATCCTGCACTCAGCAGAGGTCATGGAACCACAGGATGGGTTGGGTTGGAGGGACCTGAAAGCCCATCCAGTCCCACCCCCTGCATGGGCAGGGACCCCTCCCACCAGCCCAGGCTGCTCCAAGCCCCATAGCAGATACCTGGAACACTCCAGGGATGGGGCAGCACCTTGAAGATCATCTAGTGGGATCATCTGGGTGGGCTTGAAGGTCCCTTCCAACCCAAACCATCCCAT